TTATTTATTTTAGAGGTGTTTTTAAATATTTTTAATTTGTTAAACTATAATTTTATTTTGACTAATTATATATAAAAAAATGTATCTTTTAGTCGTTACATGTTCACTTGTCGACTCAAAAACATGGATTTCTTTCTTATAATTAATTTCGTCAATTTTTTAATCATTCTTTGGATTATCAAATTAATTTGTTATAATRTGAACTTGTTTTAAGTTGGTCTTTTAAATATCGGTTTTTGGACCAMGAAATAATTCGAGTCAATATTTTGGACCAATTAATTGAGATATTTATATAAATGATGAAGGTTTATCTATTATTAATTATCATWTAGATATTTACCGAAGATTATCAATGTTTATGTATTATGACCAATGTTTTATAGTAGAAAACAATCAAGACATTCATTAGACTAGATGAACAGTTAAGATCTGTTTGATGATTTGTACTAATGATTGGGTTTGTAAATGAAACCACATCTCTCTCTCTCTCTCTCTCTCTCTATATATATATATATATATATATATATATTCTTTTTTTTATTAACTTGGATATCCAACTCGCTATTCGAGCTGACTAATCTCAGGTGACCCCTTGTTTTGTAGATAGTCCGAAATCACCGCATTTGAACCTCCATAACTAGAAGGGGATTTTTTTTCCATTATTTATCAGAAATTAACCAAAGGGCTTAATTTGATCGGTTTGTGATCATAATCATACATCCAATTCGTTTATACATAACTTTAGTAACCCAATAATCAAAGAATGACTGCTATCTATCAGAAATTAAACCCAGCTACAGAACTTTTTCTGTTGCTGATGACTTATTAATATAAATCCTAAAAAATATAAATTGTCGTATATATATATATATATGATCATCTGCATGTTCATTGTATCATGCATCATGATCGATCAGCTACTCCAAATTCAACCATCTGTTGAGGATATGCATGAGTAAGAGAAGGCGTCAATGGCGGCRGTGGTGGTGGAGCAACACCACCGGCGACTTTCTTGGACCCGACAGTAGTACTGCTACACGGGTTACCGCCGTTATCTGTGTTACCACATCCATTTCCCGGYGGTCGAACCGGACCTCTTTGCAAAGACGATAACAAAAGGTTTCCCGTCTTCATCCACGTTTCTTCGAATTCTCCATCAAGAAGYCTGCAGCCTTCATTCGGTTCGAAACCGATAACGAAGAACATAAGTGATGCAATCAGGGCAAATTTTAGGGTTTCTGGTCTCATTTTTCTGTTGTGTAACTTCAAATGCAAGAAACAGAAATCAAAGATGAAAAAGGAATATTGAAAGTGTTGATAAGAATTTGGATAAGGAGGGGGGGGGGATTTATAGGGTTTGGAAATTGAATTCCATGGTTTGGGGTTTGACTTTTACTTTGAATTGAATGTTTCAAGTCGTTAATTAGGGTTTAGAAATTGAATAGGTCGTACATGGATAGTAGATGTTTTTCCTATGGTCAACGTTAAAAGGTCCAACTCTTGTAAATATATTTTATGGGTCGTTTATCAAACGTTTATTGTGATAAACATTTATCAAGTTACATTACATTACAGGAGAATTACGACAAAAACCAAAAATCTTACCCGATAAAAATGAAAGTAAGAATTGAGAGTTTTACTCGGTAGGTGAAAKCGACGGTTCTTATTCGGTTAGCGCTTACCGTGTATATTTTCACAAATAGTGTCGTTTGAGTGGACTAAAGTTTTGTTAGGTAAGGTAAATGATAGTGTTGAATTTTACCAATAAGCTCTTACAGGGCAAGTGTTTACGTAAATGACCATTTAGTTTGTCTCAAAATAAATATTYATTTTTAATSATGCKCTAAAAAGTATTASCATATGAATATTTATGAGTCAAATACTCGGTTTTTATTTATACAGTAAATAATATTCACACCGCATGTTTTATTTTTTGTAAGTGGAACCCTTRAGATTGGGTTTGAGACTGTTCAATACTAAAATATCAACTCGTGGAGAGAGAGGAGGCAATAGATTCATCTTAAGCGGGAAGCGAAGGAACCGTGTCAAACGTTCTATAAGTTCAGTCTGTAACTACGGTCCATGTCGGAAACAGTGRGACAATTGTTACACCATTTATGCAGGTCGTTACTTATGCTACAAGGAATTTCGTKAGCTTAAGACAGTTGGAATTGTTTTAGAAAAGTTGGATTACCAGATACTAGTCTTTTATATATCAGCTACAATAAAGATGGTTATATATCAACACGCAAAATAACKTGTTCATTTACACCTTTTTTTAATGGTTCTAACGGTTTTTTGCTCATGTTTCATCAAATTGTCATTTTTAWTCATTTAACGAGGGTGGGAACTAAAAGGACGAGGTTTAGAGGTGGGGTTTCATTTAACGAGGAGAAAATAATAAAAGAAATACAAAAATTATCAAAATACCCCCGGAGTTAACAACATTTTTAACAGAAGTTAATCTAAAAGATCAAAAATGAAGCAAAATGACAACCACAATGACCAAAACTGTAATTAACTTCAAAAAARGATTAAAAACTGTAATAAATTGTTTTTCTTTATTTTATTATTTATTAATTTAATTATTAAATAGCGGTGTTTATATGGCACCGGGAACGTGAATACCGCGTTTACCAATCTAAAAAACGCTTCAAATATTTGAATTTAAACTCAAAACACGTGGGCTCATTTTCGTTAAGTGCAAGTTTTTTTAATGAATATTATATGTTGATTTTATATTACTTTGAAATAAATTTTTTAATCATATTTTTTAAAGAAAAAAATACATTTTATTATATATTATTTTTTGAAATGTAAACATATTTAATCATTTAGTTAACTTAAACATTYATTACAACAAAACCGAGTTCGGTTAAATATTCTAATACTTTTCTAATAAGATTTAATTTATAGGACCAAAAAATAAAGCGTTTTATCTAAAAGTTTTTTTATAGAATGTTTTCGAACGTCGTAGCGAGTTTTTAAGCATCTTTTAATATAAAGTGTTCTTATAATTATTTTATACGACACTATTAGAAAAGTGTCGCATACATAAAAGTTCGTATAAAAAGATGGATTTATATGACACTTCTCAAAAACATCTTATAAAATAGTTAATACGATATTTTTTTTTTAAAAAAATTGTTACACTGTAAAAAAAAGTCACATAAATTTATTTAACATTTTTGGGTAAAAACTCTTTACTTTTGGTTGTATAAGCTTTGATCCTATAAATCATTTTATTATAACATTTCTATACTTTAAGGGTATTATAAAAGACAAATTGTATGAAAAAATAACATATTATGTCTTGATTTTTATTTTAGATAACATACTTTTAAAATTTTTATTTTAATACCTAAGATGTGAAATTTCAAACATTAAAATACCTGAATAACTGGTTTAAGCATTAACTGGTTATCAGTATTATAATGCCAAATGATGTGACATTCAATTCAAGATTATTTGTTGTCGTGACTAATGAAATAGATTTTTCAAATTTAAAATTAGTTTTAAATTTATTTATTTTATTAGAATTTATATATTATAACTATTTGTAAATTATACATTTCACATAAATAATTATAATATATAAATTCTAATAAAATAAAATTTACAATTGATTTAAATTTAAAAAAAATCATATTATTATCTAAATTATATTGAGTTTGATATTGCATTAGCATTGATATCCGATTAATGCTTAAAACGATTACCTAAATATTTAAATATTTGAAACTTCACATCTTATGTATCAGAACGAATGTTTTAAAAGTATATCACTCAAAATATGAATTAAAACAAAGTATGTTACTTTTTCATGCAAATTACTCTATCATAAAACAATTTTGTTGTAGTTTTATTTATTAATTTAAAAATATAATAAATTAAATTTATGTATAATTTAATCAATAAATCAATTTTATGACGTGCAATAGACGTCACATCATCATCATTTTTTTTATTTTTTTTTACAGCATTTAAACTAGTTATAACACACGTTTAACTCGTGTAAGTTTTTAAAGTAATTTATTAATTGATGTAATTTATTTTAATTCATTAAATTCAAAAAAAAACATGTCAAAAAGGCAATTATCTATTTAATAATTGTTTTTAATTTAAACTCGTACYATATAATTTAATAAAAYTATTTTATACARATAGTTCACTTTAAACAGATAATTCATCTTATTGAAATATCATATATAATTTTTAGTCACGAAGCAAAGAAAAAAGAAGTTCCACGTAACAAGAGTGTTTTGAAGACAAAAAGATTTTTTTTATTTCAAGATTAAGATGTTTTTAACGAACATAAATAAACGAGAACTTGTAAACCAAGTTTAAAGTCGTTGTGTTAGAGATGACAACAGTGTTACAAGATATTTTTTTTATAATACTGAAAGTATATATAAAGAGTTTGACTTGCTATTATCAGTATATTTTGTTTCTGAATCAGTGTTGACTATGAAAATAGTCAAGTTTGAGTTTTTTTTTAAATATATCATGTTTGASCTTTGTAATAGAAAATTACAACTGCTTTATAGGGTAGAAGTTTCAATAAGAAGTTTGCCATAAGAATGTAAGAAATGAACGTTCGTATGTGAATTATTGAAAAGAAAATCATCTGAAGATGTATATGTAAACACATATGAATAGTCTGTAACGACGGTTCACATATGTATTTTTAAGAAAGATCTGAAAATTTTCAGTTATTCATATATGAACCTTCCTTAAACTATTTTTTTCTTACATTTTGACAGTATTTTTTCGAACATAAATAAACTAAAAAGTATATGCCAGCAGCCGTGGTAATACATAAAWTGACCAGAGTTCCTTGTCACATGACGCAACGTGAAAGTCGCAATTCCTTTCGATATTAGGCTCCTTGTAGGCCATCATGTACTTGCTTTACCTTCCACATGATGCACTTTGAGATGAGACGCTTACAACCAGCACGGGGGTTGTTTTATGCACAAATTTTGTTGATCATCGAATAAATCAAAATACCAACCATTCAATATCATTGTTCAAGTCAAAAACACACGAGTCGTTAAAACATCGTTTACATGAATAACCGTCAATAAAGACGACCAAAATTCGAACTACTTTGGAGTGTCGAATCAAACAAAACAAAACAAAACCCTAAAATCATCTGAATGTAGACGTATGCGATTTCTAAGTTGAGGGGTGCTTCGTGTAGATTTCTATTTTTAAGGGTAAGTTTGTCCAACAAAACCAATTCTCTTCTTCAAGGGGAACCAATACTATTTCTATTAATGTCCACCTCCTTACCTTCGAGACAAATTGTCTCGAAACAACAAAAACATTGTTTTTTTATTTGAGAGTTGTAAGGATAAAAAATAAATTATCTAAAAACAACCTTTACTAGGTATTCGAGACAGTTTGCGCGCCCTTCAGAGTAATCCTTGGAACACTGAAGATAACAGCTAGGAAAATGAAAATCTCGGTGATCTTGAGAAGACTCGGACTGACGACCTATGAGAAAGTGCCCAAGGCCTGGCCTTTATTTGCTAGTTGACCTGACCTCCTAAATTAAGCTTACGAATCTACTATATGTGCATATGTGTTTGTACTCGACTAGAAATACAACGAAAGAAAAGGAGAACTTACAATCTCCTTGCCTTTCAAACTGAACTTTTTATAACGTAGAATTTCTTCTTTTGAATCGCAAGACGAGAATATGCAGGTGCAAGTCGTAGGTTTCAAGCAGGCTCATAAAGACCCAACATGTGACCATCAATACACCGCATTGCAGCAACCTGCCAACCAAAGAAAAAATTATAGGTGTATTATTGATTTTTCCCAACACCACAAASAAAGGTTGAAACCAAATCAAACGAGCCCAGTATATCCCACCTCCTGGAGGTGGGCTCCGGGGATGGGGATGGGGATGTACRCAGACGTGACCTCTATTCCAAAGAGTAGAGCGATTGTTTCCGTCAAGACCCCCAGCCAGAGGACGWGAAAAATAATCAATTGTGAAAGTGAAGTAAAATGAGTGGTAGGAGGGGATTATTATTACCTTTCCATGGACCTCATATTTGATAGGACCATCCATCTCTGCACCTAAAGCCATGAGTTTAGTTACGGTATTGTTAATGTCGGTCACAGTGAATGATAACAGTGACGAGTATCCCTTCTGAACCACAATCTCGCTGTAAATAGTGAAAWATGAAATCAGCGATTCTACACTTAAAAATGATGATCGAATGAGAATAGGTTGAAAATATGATTCTAGGAAGGCCTCACAACCTCGTATACCATACTAGATATTGTCAGCTTTATTCACACCTCGACTCACAGTTTAGAACACGTCTGATGGAGGAGGTATCCAGTCCCTTATAAGTCAACCTTTGTTCCCTTTCCCAACTGATGCGGGATCCCACAGTTCTGGTACGGTTGGCCAGGATATTACAATTTTACCCTACAGCTACTCCTCTGTTCAGTATAAGAATGCTATTTGTTTTAGMGAGTCAGATGATTAGCATCAATGTTAGTAGAACCTGGTAGTTCTTGAGAAAGAAATTTGACAGCAACATAAGATGAAGGGTGCTTTGAATAATGAAGACCAAATTCTGTTTGAATCTACATAATCATTGTTGTTGTGTGACAGTATGAGATACCACGTTGGTTGGGAAGGGGAACAAAAGTTGCCTTATAGGGTGCGTTTGGTGCGCAGACAGGACATGACAGAACAGAACAACTGTTCAACGTTTGGTAAGACATGACAAGACAGAACAGAACTGATTAAAATGACCAATTTACCCCTAACGTTATTTTGCTTCTTTACTAAGTTAAAACATATGCAAAACAGTTTCCCAAGAACTTATTACTGTCCTTAGCAACATTGGAGGGATTTTGCTTGGGGAGTGAACAAACAGATGGGTATTGTTGAAGAACTGATGGGTATTCAAGACAGTCCATGAATCCAACAAGACCGTAGATCAACCAAGCAAAATAGAAATCATACAAGCAAAACAGTAGCAAAGAATATGGTTAATGAAATGCAAACAGTAGCAAAATCGAACACTTTTAAACCCATTGCACTTGCTGTCGAGTTATGCAAACAGTACCAAAATCGAGTAGATAAACCCATTGCCCTTGCTGTTTCAGATATAGTTATGCAAATCGAAGTAGAAAACAGCAAAATCGAGTAGAAAACAGCAAAATCGATTAGAAAAATCGAGTGGAAAACAGCCTCATAGGGCACTTTTTGCACTTGCTGTCAAGTTATGCAAAATCGAAAAACAGCAGGGTTCTTCTAAACGATCGATGAAGGAGAGGAGAGATCGATTACCTGAGAGTATGGAGAAAGAAGAAAGGTCGAACGATTGGTGCTGTCGATTTGTGAAGGGGAACGACTCTGTCCAGGCCGTCGGTCGCCGATTGATGAAGGAGACGGTGGAAGATGGAGGCGACGTTGTGAAGATGGAGGGTAGATAGGTCAAATGTTTCTTGTTCTAGTTAGTTCCATGGGGGGAAGGGTGGACTACCGTGTCCTACCCGTGTTCTACCTTGTTCTAGTTAGTCCCACATAAAACCACACCAAACATGGGACAAATGTGTTATGTCCCGTCCTGTCCCACCCTGTTCTGCCTACCAAACGCACCCATAAGGGACTGGATACCTCTTCTACCAGACGCGTTTTAAAACCGTGAGTGGGTCTGTACAAAGCGGACAATATCTTATATGGTTAGCCTGAGATGTTACCAATGCTATCGGAGCCGGGAATCGGACTGGTATGCCAGCGAGGATGTTGGGCTCCCAAGGGGTGGATTGTGAGATCCCACATCGGGTGGGAAAAGTACAAAGTTGTCTATACCTCCTTCATCAATCGTGTTTTAAAACCGTGAGTCCAAGTATGGACAAAACGGACAATATCTGATACGATTCTTTGAGATGTTATATGTAAGTTCACACTATCAAATCATTCTTAAACCGAAATACTTGCACCATTTTGCTAAAATCTTAACCTTAGCAAGTGTTTGAGACAAACCCATGATGATTGTTTTCTATTCACAAAATCAATAGTATCATCAAAGTGCACTTGGGTGTATTGCTCGGTTGACAAGGGGGAGGAGCAACTTTGCTCGAATACACAACAGGCTGCAGGAGACGGGCTTGAACCCCTCAGTTGGCCTCAGCCGCCGAGTCAGCTATGAAATGCCTCCTCAAATATGGTTCCTAAGGGCGAGTTCCGTGTGGGGCCGGTTAGGTTCAACCTTTTGCTCAAATAGTATCATGAAAGTGTCAAGACTGTTTTTCCATCAATTTTCAAATAACAAGTCATATTTTTCTATAATCCATGAAAACATATTCTCTTCAGACACTTTCTTGACCTATCCAAATTCCAAGGGCATGTTTGTTAGCTGCTTAATGAGCTTGATGGACTCCCAACTTATTCAGTTGTCTATACATGATTATTTGGTAGTGGCTTAATGATATAGAAAGTGGTTTATTCAGTAAGCTTCTAGGAGGCATACTTATGCAAAAAGCCAAGTTTTTTCTCGAAACTTGCCCCATCCAATTTAAAAACATACTTCTTCCATTTCTGAAAAAACCCTCCAAAACAAAAACCTTCTGAATCTATACAATCAGATTAACCCACACTGACAGCTTTATCCCTGCATTGTTTAACGAAAACCCAACCAAACAGCCCCTAAATCAAGTTCATATGATTTGGCAATTGTTTAAGCAAGAACAGGAGCAAACTGCGTGTTACCTGGTTGCTGAAACAATTCATTTGGCATTCAAATTCAACTCATCTCAAGTACAAGATACACACGTTTTGAAGTCCAGAATCCAAATTAGAATCCAATTGTAATACAAAATTACAAAGGGAGAAGAAACGTTCTGTAACTTCAATTCCTCGTCTAAATGACAATTAAATCACTCGGATCCATGGTAATCAACTTCCAACGTAAAAACCCTAGTAACTTATCGAAAAATTCAGCAAGTAAGATAAAAAAAAACATAAGTGTGTGTGAACGAGATAGAGAATCGGAAATGACCTGGAAGAATGCATGAGAGAGAGCTTGAGAGGACCGGATTCGAGTTCAGCCCACCGGAGAGTACACACATTTACGCTGAAATCAAGACCTTCTTTGTAGAATCTCGCAGCTTTTGGTACATCTTTGTGCAATTGCAGTATCCATCGGAATGAAGCAGACGCAGCCGCCACCATAGTCTGTATCTCCGCCGGTGGAGGAGAGTGACCGATTTAAAGAATAACGATTGTATCCCCTTTTTTCCACTTTCCGGCAGCTTATCTGATCTTCCCCAACACAAACTTAAACCACTGGGCTTTTATTTGGGCCTTCGTATCCATCAAAGTTGAACGATAAAATTATTTGTGGCCCAAATTATATTTCTATTGTTTTTCCTTTTCTAATATCTTTTGCAAGTCATCTAAATTCTTACATTTAAAACATTTAATTACACAGTAAAATAAGATAACGGCATATATATATATATATGTATATAAATTATAGATGTGCGATAAAGTGTGTTACTTTCATTTTCTAAGAGGGAGAGATGATGTTTCAAATACAACTCATCATATTTGTACAACAAATACAACTCAATTAATTGAGATATTTATGGAAATGATGAAAGTTTATTAATTATGATTTGAATATTTATAGAAGATGACTATGGTTCATTAATTATGATCAATAATTTATATTATGAAACAATTAAAACTTTTATGAAATCACATTTTCATCAAATTAAATAAACGGTTGAGATTAAGTTGTATTTGGTCATACAAATGTAAGGTGTTGCATGATAACTCACCCCTCTCTCTCTCTCTCTCTCTCTCTCTCTATATATATATATATATATATATAGTCTATGTATATAGCCAGGGGAGGAACACAAGTTTTCCAACCGTAAGGGTCGGACCTGATATATATTATATATTTTAAAAAATACAAAAAATACACAATCCAAAGTTAAAAAATAGTAAAACTCTAAAACTAGACGTCAAATATGAATATGTCAAACATTGCTAATCAAAGTGAAACTCGTCAATCTTTCGCGGCCTTGAAGTCCTCCACAATTTCCTTGAGCGTTTATGTTGTACTATCACGTACATGAACAAATCCAAATAAACACTCTATAATGAATCCCTCTTTATTAACAAATCTCAAAACAATAGACATTTGCTCTTTTTTTAGACTCATCCCCTGTTTCATCAACAAGTAAACAAAATATTCGACCATCAATCTCCTCACAAATTAAAATCACAGAGATTCCACTTGCATTCGGATTTGGTTCTTCATGTTGCTCTTCCATGGAGATTGGAGACTGGAGAGGGTGAGACCGCGAGAGGCTGGAGGTCGAGACTCGACTCACTCGAGAGTGGTAAACGCGAAGAGGGAAGATATATCAACAGGTATGTAATTTCAATAATGGAGACGGGAGATTGTAATTTTGTTCATAAGTTGTTTGCGTAAATCTGTCGGTTGATATGGTCATGTGGGTATGTGGCGATGAATAATCAACAACTTTAGATTTTAGTTGGGATGGATTAAAAGCTTAGTGGACTCCAGTACGGGGGGAGCCATATTAAAAAACTTGGAATTAACAATTAAAAACCCAAAATATGTATTATTAATGAATCAAAAAACCCAGTGGCCATGGCCCCTAAAAGCCTATACGGCCTTCCGCCCCTTATATAGTTGGTCTTCTAACCATTTATCTTATGTGTTGACACAACTATCACTATATTCGTAATATTCATTACGGACCTAACTAAAAGATATTTTTTTTTTATCAAATTCAACTAGTTTACCATCACAATTGCGAACTTGATCGTTATAATTGTATATCTGGGCCCTGGCCATCACAATTGCATGTTGATGTTGAATTTTGGTCTATAACCCATCCCTAACGGATATTGTAAATTCATAACATTTGATTTAAAAATCTATATATATATATTAAAGAATAAACCAAATATAATGAGGTGACACCTTCTAATGCTTAGAACCCCTTCTATTTTTTTTCTCGTTTTTTTTTTATTTTTTTAAATGTTGAATATGTTAAAGACTTTTTTGCCCCTTGATGAAAAATGTATAGCTTATAATTAACCCAGGTTATTTTTGTAATTTTGTATACCCAAGTTTAACCTCCAACTCTTGATTTGCTCTTCCATTTACTTTCTTTTATTTCTTAATGAAATTTGTTTTTTAAAGTTTCAATAATAAACAAAATGAAATCATATAAAATCCTTTGGTGAGGGATGAAGAAGATGAGAGTTGAAGAAGAATTCAAAGATTTTAAAAGGTATGTAAAAATTATATTCATTAAAAAATGTGATTTGTTATTACATGTTTCTTTTTCAATATTGTTGGATGTGTTGTTATCATAGGATATGATTGTGTTTACGATTGGATTATATAAATTGTGTTTACGATTTGATCATATAAATTCGAATAAAATTTTGATATTTTATAATCACAGGATATGATAAACTTTTTTCGAATTTAAGCTTCATTAACAACAACTATTTATTCATCTTCATCTCTCACACCCTCTCAAATTATATCTCTATCTTATACATCTCTAAATTTATTTTCTTTCTCTTTGGTTTTTCTTCTATTTTACTGTTGATAATATTCATAGTTTTTTTTTTTTTTCACTTCTCCCATAATTTTATGTATGTTTGTATCGTTATTTAAATTGCATTATATGTCATGAAGATTTGAAGAAGTTTCAAGTTCTTTGGTTTTTCTTCTATTTCACTATTGATAATCTTTATAGTTTTTTTTTTTGCTTTTTCACTTTTCCCACAATTTTATGTATGTTTGTTTCGTTATTTAGATTGCATTATAGTTTTTATGCATTATGTCATGAAGATTTGGAAAAGTATTCACGTTCAATATTTGATTTTTTGGTTGCAAATATACTAATTTTATATTGATTTGTTTCATGATTTTGGTTGCATTATAATTTTATTTATGTTTGTATCATGATTTTTGTTTGCATTATAACTCTTATGTATTATTATATATATATATATATATATATATATATATTAAAGAATCAACCATGAGTGTTTGAAGTGGCCTCTCCTAAAGCCTAGAACCTCAATTTTCTTTTTTCTCCTTCATTCTCTCAACATCCACTACTATTATATATTTTTTTGTCAATTTATGTTTTTTTTGTTAAATGTTTGCATTCAACTCCAAACCATTCATCTCCTTCTATATTAATTCAAATGACATAACTCCAAACCCTTCATCTTTTCTCATCAATCATTTATTTATATACATATAAACAACAACTATTTATTCATCTTCATCTCTCAGACCCTTTCAAATTCTATCTCTATCTTATACATCTCTAAATTTATTTTCTTTCTCTTTGATTTTTCTTCTATTTTACTATTGATAATCTTCATAGTTTTTTTTTACTTCTCCCATAAGTTTATGTATGTTTGTATCGTTATGTTATTCAGGTTGCATTATAGTTTTTATGCATTATGTCATGAAGATTTGAAAAGAAGTCTTCAAATTCAATATTTGATTTTTTGGTTGCAATATAAGGTAAAATATTTATACTGATTTGTTTCATTATTTTGATTGCATTATAATTTTATTTATGTTTGTATCGTGATTTTTGTTTGCATTATAACTCTTATGTATTAGGTAAAAATTTAAAATGTTCAAGGTCACCATGTAATTTTTACTTATGCATGTTGAACGTTTTTTGGTTTGCAGGTTTTCGAGTTCTTTAACGTTTATATATCAAGTCATGAAAATTTGAACTTTTCAAGTTTGGGTTGTGGGAATTTTTGATTATGATATAAGGTAAKGATTTTATGCAAGTTTGTTTTGTAATTTAAAGTGTATTAGAATGTTATGTATGTTTGTATCATGATTTTGATTGGATTATATTTTTTAAGTATGTTCTTATCGTAAGTTTAGTCGTATTATAATTTTATGTATGTTCATGTTATGATTTTGATTGCATTATATTTTTATCTATTGGGTTATAAAGATTTGAAGTCTTTAAGTTTGCTATGTGATTTTTTACATATCGTATGATTGGTCCGGTCCGTTCACTATTGTGTTTTTAAAGTCAATATATGTGTTGAAGATGAAAAATAGTATATGTACATCATCATTTGAAGGAGACATATCTTTATTTAGAGTATTTTTTATTCCTAAATTTGTGTCAGATTCCTTAATATTTTCATCGTTATTATTACTCATTTTATTTAGTTTTATAATTTTATTACTAAACAAATCTCTCTCTCAATATATATATGTGTATATTAAAATTTCACTAACTATATTTTATTTAACTTTTTTRAATTATTTGAATATGATTTGTTGATGATTCTATTAACAATTAATATATATTTATATAGACAATCATCAGATTATTAATCAAAACACTCATAATACCGCACAAGGCACGGTATCCATACTAGTAACTAATAAACCAATTTCAATGAGGAAATGATCGTGAGCAGTCGATTTTAAAACATGTGGGTTCTAAAGAGATGACATTCGTATTCCAAATCTGTTGATTTTGATTCTAGTATTTTAAATGTTTGATTCTATGCGATTTGCCCCCAAATATTTAACAGTTACTATGCATGGCGCGAATTGATAGGATCCAATCATCCCCAAACGAAGAGAGAGACCAAGAGAACCACAAATCGGCGAATTTCTCCGAATCTCCAGGGTTTCCAATCAAACCATGTCTCACAGATCGTCCAAACCGGTCCAATCCAATTGGCACTTTCCATTTTCACTCTCCAACTCATCATCAACGTCGTCGTACGTACGTTCGTCGGATTCGATAATATCCATTTTTTCCGACAATCGTTTCTACAGTTCAGGTGCGGAAACGCTGATTTTTTTTTACTTTATCATATCACGAATTTCCGAGCACGGTGTTGTGATTTGATTTGAGATCCTGGAAGATCGACTCGGATTTTTGATGTGAAAAATCGGGGAAAAACAATGGAGGGATTCGAAGTGGACGAAGGGTGATTTAGAAATTTAGCGGGTATGTGTTCTTGTTACCTGCCGTTCGCATTATAATCTGTGCATATATATACGGTGGCCATTGAGCTCATGTTAATGTTATTTATTAGGAGTATTTCGTGGCATGGATCACGTAATGCAATCGCGTTTTCACGGTGAAGGGATCTGAGTTCAGTATTCAGATCAGGACATTGTAAAATAGTAATTGCGCGCATCGATTAACGATGAAGGAATTTGTAGTTACAGAGCTTCGCAGTTGATATTCAGATGGTATGTAATTACGTATGTCTGTTTTTCTTTGAATTACTTGTAAGTAAGTTTATGACAATGATCAAATCTTATCTTTTTGGTTTAGAGTGTACTTTGTGTGAGGACTTTCATCCATGTTCCATGACCAAATCACGATAAAGCTGATGGTCGTCATGAATTTATTTATGAAACTTTATACAAATATATTATGCCTTTCCCTTTGCAATATAAAGTGGTCGTCTACCAAATGCTTATCGGCAAGAGTCCCAATTCAATTCTCACTTTCTTTATGGGTAACATTTCTAGCCATAAAAAATGGATTAATGGTAAGCGTTTATAACCCAATAAGTGCTTATCGGGTAAGAGTCATCACCCTCACTTACTGGGTAAGTCTCTTGATCCTTGTCTGCCCTCTTACCGGGTAAGATTCCCGGTTCTTGTTATGTTCACGCGATAAGGTAATTGAAGGGTTAAGCGCTTACCAAAGTAAGTGTTTAGTAAACGGCCCCTAAGCCCATGTTTGTGCAAGTATCCATCTGGACCAGGTCGTTTACTAAACACTTACCTTGGTAAGCGCCTACTGGTTCAATTACCTTACCAAATGAACATAACAAGGACCAAGAAACTTACCTAGTAAGAGGGAAGACATGGATCGATAGTCTTACCCGGTAACTGAGGATGATGACTTTTATCCAGTAAGCGCTTACCGTGTTATAAACGCTTACATCAATTCATTTTTTTGGCCGGGAATGTTACTCCATAAGGTAAGTGAGAGTGGTGACTATTACCAGTAAGCATATGTAAACAGCCCTTAGACATGTCGTTGACTCATGAGAGATAAATTGTAGTGTTACTCAACATAAATAATTTTTTATTGCTATATCTTTTATCCTGATTTGCACTGTAGATGTTCAACAATTATAAGATTTTTCTTCTACAGTTTAACTAGAATCAGGTAGTGACTAAATAGAATGCAACATTTAACTTGGACCCTTCTAGACTTCTAGTAATGAATTTTTTTCACTCTTGGCCCTTTCTTTAAAGCTGAAAGGAATGACATGCTTAACGAAAACCATCCCAAAGTAGCTTATTGGGGCAAGGTTTCTTGGTCCTTGCATTAATACCCTACTACCACAAGTCCACAACATTATTGTTCTTGATCTTTCTGCTCGAAAAAGGATATACAGCAACATCTGCTCCTGATGATCCATATTAGGTAAATGAACAGAAGAATGATACACACTTACTTGCTTCATAAGTACCAAGACATGATAACCAGGATAGAATATTGCATTTTTCATGTAGTTTGAATTTGTAAGCAACATCTGCATTTTTCAAATTTATAATCTTGAATTTGTGCTTTACTTGTTGATATTCACTATGGATGATTTTTATGTGTCAACTTGCAGTAGTCGGTGAAAGTATGTTATATTTGCTAATAAGGGTGTTTACTTGTTATGGTTAGAATGCTTATTCGTGTGGTTAGATTCCTTCTTATCCGCCATCATGCTGCTTACCTTTTCTGCTACCATACTTCTGGCTTCTGACGAGTCTCTGAATCAATATGCAGGATATTACGGAAAAAATCACCGTAGGTTCTCAAGTGTGGGTGGAAAACCCATCAGTGGCTTGGATTGATGGCGAAGTGTTGAAAATAGATGGAAAGGAAGCTGAGATCCAAACCACTGACGGGAAGAAAGTAAGTTGATCTATGTTCTTGTCAAATGTCAATCAGTTCATTTTGGTTCGTTTACCAAGTTCACCCTTTCATTGGAAAAAGGAGGTGGAAGTCATGGTCATGGTTTTAAAAATCGCTTGAGGTGTACGCCAAAAGGTCCACTTCAAGGCAAGGCGGCCCCAAACGGCACCTGAGGCAGGCGCCTCTTGGACCCTGGATGAGGCGTATGCCTCGGATGATTTACTTTGGTAATGGTCTTTTTGCTTTCTTTTATGAGCTTTATGGCAGTAGTAGTACTTCTCTTTATAGTTAAGTGTCTTTTATTTTTAAAAAAATAAAAGTCAAAGCCCAACACCTCCAATGTGTACTTTTAGTATTTTAAAATCCAAAAAGCTAGTACTTTCACCTCTCAATCAAAAAGTGTGGTTTGACCCTTTCTTCCCTCCAAGCAACCAATTTTTCCACACCCTCTAAGCCTATCTCACGGTTTCACTCTTTCCTTTAAGAACCACTGAACCAACACCTTTAGTAATTTAGTATTATGTATATTGTATATAAATGTATATATTTGTGTAATATATATACCTATTTTGGTGTATATATATTTTCGCCTTGGGGGTTACGCTTCATACCTGCCTCGAGGATTACGCCTCGCCTCGTTGAGGGAAAATGCCTCGAGGCCCAATTCTGCCTTTTAAAGCCTTGGTCATGGTGTCAAGTTGGCAAGTGCTCAAGTTCTGCCTGATAACTCTATGCCAACTTTGAGGCAAATGAAATGCTTGGAACCATGATCCTAGAAAGCTGACAAAGAATCGCGCAGAAATCCTTAAAGGGCAGTAGTTCTATTTGGTACCTTATAGAGTTAAAGTTGTTATGAAGCCTTCTAAGCAGTTTCAAATGGACACCACCTTCTTTTAGGCTTAACTATACTGTAATGATTTTAAGTGTTGTTGTCAGTGAACAATAGTGGAAAATGAGAAATAAAAAGTTCAAACTTCTTTCTAGGTTCGTAATTCTTTTGTCTATAAATTTTACCCTTTACTGCCTATAGGTTGTTATGCAACTATCAAAAGTATACCCCAAAGAGTTGGACACTCCAGATGGTGGAGTTGATGACATGACCAAGCTTTCTTATTTGCATGAGCCTGGAGTTTTGCATAACATATCTATCAGATATCAACGAGATAAAATCTATGTAAGAGGATCTCCAACTTCAGTTTCATTTATCTATTTTGCTGTTGTTTAGTCTGGCGAGGGGAACGTTGGATTACTGCAGCTATGGAGGCTTTGTCATAATACTATATCGTACTCTGACATTATGGCAGACTTATACAGGCAATATCCTCATCGCCGTTAATCCATTTCAAAGTTTGCCTCACTTGTATGATGCTCACATGATGGAAAAATACAAAGGAGCACAATTTGGGGCTCTAAGTCCGCATGTATTTGCAATTGCTGAATTTGCTTTCAGGTAATATTCCCTTTTTTTGTATTACATATCATCTAAAGAGATCACATAGACATGCTCACTTGAGGTGAATCAGGGAAATGGTTAATGGAGGAAAAAGTAACTCAATCTTGGTCAGCGGTGAAAGTGGGGCGGGTAAGACTGAGACTACCAAGATGCTTATGCGCTATCTTGCATATGTTGGTGGTCATAAAGGCTCTGAAGGACGAACAGTTGAACAACAGGTTCTAGAAGTAAGATGTCAAAGTAACTTAAATTCCTTGTTGTATTTCTTTAAATGGTCCATTGAACCAAGTAAAAATGCAACTGATTTGAGGAGGTTAGTCTTTTCTTCCATTAGATTGTCCTTTCTAAATTGAATTTTATTTTTTAAATGTAAAAATTTGGATGAAAGGATTGCATTTGACCTGGTTACAAAGCCAACAAAACCTAATACCAAACCAAATCAAACTAAACCAAAACGAACCCAATATATCCCACACCCAATTCCACCTAATACACATGCTAATGTACCCATTTTCATTATTGCTCTTGGGACCCACAATTGTCCCTTTCTCACTTCTTCCTTACAAGTAAAATACAGGTAAACTAGCTTTTGGTTCTGATTAATTTGTTAAGGTCAATCTAGTATGACCAAGTTCTCTCATGAAGGATCTCATGGGAAGGTGGAGATGGGAATATAAAATAGCTATAATGTGTAGACATGGGTACTTACCCTTTAACCATATTTATGGTATTGGTCATCAAATGATCTATGGATCTATTATTAGGTCTTTGTAGCCTCTCATGATTCAGTAAGTTGTTATGTGTTGTATAGACTCTTTAGTAAAAGTGATTTTTATCGGCAAGTTAAAGGATAAGAGAGAGAGGCTTGTTAAACTAATAGATGATGCATAAACCGGGCAATATTAGGACCTGGAAATGTGAGATTAGCTTGATAAAATTTTCGCCACCAACCTAATAATCAGATTGAATCGAGGGATAAAGTAATTAAACACCATCAAGATTAATCAAATTGGCGAAAGTTGAATACTATTAGTGATTAATAGCACCACACTAACAATAAAGAAGAATCTACTCCTTTTGTGTATAGAACATTCCTCAAAATGCAATTTGGGAGCTATTATATAGGCTAGTATTCTGTTTGTTTTTACTTCATTCTCAAATAGGATTTTAGGTTTTCTACCTCTTGTGGCCCTTAAAGACCCATCTTGTATAGTTGTATTCTAATTAATCAAGGTTTTCCTTACCTACCGGTAAATCTGTTATTAACCCCAAGGTTTACACAGTAAACTTTCCGAGTACTATTAAGTTGAAGGACTAAAGTGGCCTGCTAGTATTTGCTTGACTAGGATGTCTTCCCACACGAAGGATGGAATTAGAAAATATTGATATTCCGGAGAAGTTGGGTTGACACCAGTTTGGGAGAAACTGAGCAACATCATTTGAGATGGTTTGGTCATCTTCAACATAGATATTTGGTTAACAAAGTGACTCTATCAAGATGAGACTGTTAGGAGAGGTAGAGGCAGGCCAAGATTGACATTGTGAGAAGTAATGAAGAGAGATTTAGGGGATGTTTGGTTGGTTTTTCATTAAGTTCTATATGGATAAAGATGTATGTGTGCATTAATCTGTCTGTATAGATTGAGAAGATTTTTGTTCGGTCTTTTTTCCATATATGGAATGAACATATTTTTCAATTGGGAGCAATAGGTTTGGAAAAAACTTGGCTTTCTGCATAAAGCTCCCCCTAGAAGCTTGCTGAATAAGCCGCTTTCTACATCATTAGCCACTACCAAATAATCATGTATAGCTGACCGAATAAGCACTGAGGCCCATTAAGCTGCTAACAAAAAGGCCCTTAAAATGAGGGAATAAGCCAAAGAAATTGGCCTTGGATGTGAGTACACTAAAGGATGCTATTTGTGTTCGTGAACCCTAGCAAGTTGACCTCTTTATAATTTATTTTGGCTTCATTTTTGGCCTACCCTGACTAGCTTAAGACAAAAAGATTGTTTTGTAATTTATGCCAATAGGTTATTTTCTTTGCTTTGTCATACTAACCTATCCATTTCTCTTGATTACATGTTGTAACTGCAGTCAAATCCAGTCCTGGAAGCATTTGGCAATGCAAAAACTGTTAGAAATAACAATTCCAGGTGCAGAACTGTTCAAGTTATGCTACAAGAAACTTGATACTTGTTCAATAACTAATTGCATTGGCTGAAAATGCCGTGATCCCTCTGTGCTATCTTGCTGCAGCCGTTTTGGAAAATTTGTTGAGATTCAGTTTGATAAATGTGGAAGAATATCTGGAGCTGCCATCCGGACATACCTCCTAGAAAGATCTCGTGTTTGCCAAATTTCAGATCCTGAACGCAACTATCACTGTTTCTATCTTCTTTGTGCTGCACCCCCGGAGGTAGTTTTTATGTATCATATATTCTATAACTCAGATCCTACCTAGCTACTTAAAGATTGTTAACTCTTTTCTTAACTTTTTAAGGAAACCAAGAAATACAAATTAGGAGACCCTAAGTCGTTTCACTATCTCAATCAATCAAATTGCTATGAACTTGTTGGTGTAAGCGATGCCCATGATTATCTTGCCACTAGGAGAGCCATGGATATTGTTGGAATAAGCCAAACAGAACAGGTTGTAACATCTTCAAGCTGAATTGTTTGTTATTTTGTTTTATTGTGTAATAAGCTGTCAATAACATACATATTTTCCAGGATGCAATTTTCAGCGTTGTGGCTTCAATTCTCCATCTTGGTAATCTTGAATTTGCTAAAGGGGAAGAGCATGATTCGTCAATCCTGAAAGACGATAAATCCAAATTTCATCTTCAGATGACAGCAGAGCTGCTAATGTGTGTTTGGAGCTGTGATATGCTTATTTCTTTCTGTCTCCAACTTTTAATGTCTACTTATGTGTGTGTGTGTGTTTGTTTGCATCTTGTGAGGATATGTGGAACCCCGTGATAACCTCCAAAAGAGCCCTTGAGGAGAAAGGGGAGGTTCCAACATATATGTAGGATAAATGTTCCAAGTCTAGCCGATGTGGGACTCCAACACGCCCCCTTCAATGGAGGCTAGATGGACACAGATTGTCCCAGAGTGTCGAGAGGGGGCTAGCCAGAGTGTTGGGTCCTTAGAGTGACAGACCTTGGCTCTGATACCATGTGAGGATATGTGGAACCCCCCTGGATCACTCTCCAAAAGAGCCCTTGAGGAGGAAGGGGAGGTTCCAACATATACAGAGGAGAATGTTCCAAGTCTAGCCGATGCAGGACTCCCAACACATCTGTGTGTGTGTTTGTGTATGCATGTGTTCTGAATTACTGTCTACTTCAGGTGTGATCTACAGTCACTGGAAGATGCACTACTGAAGCGTGTGATGGTTACTCCAGAAGAAGTTATCAAGAGAAGCCTTGATCCTGAGGGTGCAACCTTCAGCAGGGATGGTTTGGCTAAGACCTTATATTGTCGCTTATTTGATTGGTAATTTCAGCCTTTCATGTTGATCTGATTTACCATACTTTGGATTATGCATTTAAATAGTTTGTTGTTCCATGTATGATTGCTCAAAGGGCTTTCTTAATTACTTTAGCTTCTGGAGTGCATGATTATTCATATTTACAGGTTGGTGGATAAAATTAATGTGTCGATTGGGCAAGATCCAAAGTCAAATTCTCTAATCGGCGTCCTTGACATATATGGTTTTGAGAGCTTTAAAACCAATAGGTAAAATTTCAGCGCTGAAATAATTATTATGCTGTGTTCTCGAAACCTTTTTTACGAAGGAAAGGAAAGGAAAAGGAGGGGAAGGGGAGGAAAGAAAAAGAACTCATGTTCTTGAAAGTTCTTTAGGAAAGGAAACGAAGGAAAATAATGATAAGTTTCCCCCTAAATCTGGGAGGAGAGGGAAGGGAAGGAAAGGAAAGGAAAGGAAAGGAAAGGGAAGAAACAAAAAATCTTTAAAAATTATTCAAATTACAAAACCACCTAATTAATTCTAAAGAATATATTTTTAAAGGGTAAATTAGTAAAAATGACATCTTTCCTTTCCTTTCTCTCCTGTTCAAGAACATGAAAAATTACTTTACTTCTTTCCCTTTCCTTCCTTTTCCTTCCCTTTCGAGAGCAAAAATACAAAAAAGATTCTTTTCCTTTCCTTTCTTTTCTTTCCATTTCTTTTCTTTTCTTTTCTCCCCAAATTCAAGAACACAGCGTTAGAGAACTGCTTCTTTGTTGACTTGATTGATATGATTTAGTCATAGTTTTGTTTAAATTGGGCAGTTTTGAACAGTTCTGTATTAATTTCACTAATGAGAAGCTGCAACAACACTTCAATCAGGTCTGACTAAATGTGTTTTTGACAAAATTGGTAATACTTCCCTTTATGAACATATAATTGATTTCCAGCATTAACTGTTTCCTTCATACAGCATGTTTTCAAGATGCAGCAAGAGAAATACAGCAAAGAGGAGATTGACTGGAGCTACATAGAGTTTGTAGACAACAAGGACATCCTAGATCTTATTGAAAAGGTTCTACATATAAATTTAAATTATGAAATCCTCAACTTCTTTTGATTCCTGCAGTTTTCTTTCTTGACAATCTATCAGTAGATCTAGTTATCAAGTAAAAGAAACCAATAAAAGGTTCCCATTTGGCTGCACATTTTTGTTTATGGTCTTTTCAGGAGAGTTTGGTCATGATTTGACCCTTGGCCACAGTTGATATCCTGGGAAGTAATACGATCATTCTTTTATTTTTCATGTGTGTAGATTAATTATTATTAATGCATGTAAAATACAAGTACTTCTGTAAAACTTGATGAATTATAAATAAAGCTTTCAGTGCCACCCTTTTTGTTACTGGAAGTAAGAAATGAGTCCAACAGAAGAGATTTCTGCATTAAATACACTTTTACCCCTCCGCTGGAAAAGACACAATTGAGAAACAGAAAACATTCCGTTTCAAGATTTCAAATTTCTGTTGACAATGTTGTTTGAAGTTTTGTCATTCTGGAAGATCCCATGTTCATTTCTTGATAAGCAATAGTTTTTATGTAATCACTAGTATAAGCATATATCATAAGTCATAACTAATCACAAGAGACTGGGTTCTAACTTCACAACCTTAGAGATGATGCATTTTTATTAATGTTTGTATTTGCAGAAACCTGGTGGGATCATTGCTCTACTTGATGAGGCCTGGTAAGCAACATTTTGCCATCCACACAACATACACATTGTGTGTTTGCACGTATGTGTGTTTATATTCCTTTTTTATGCATTTTTTATCAGACGTGCTCCAGGCACACATAATTTGATAATATTTCTTTGTAAACATGTGTGTGCAGGACTGTTGGGAAAGGAGGGACGGGCACTTGCCCTGGGTCCTACAAAAATAGGGTTTTTTAGTAGTAGTATCCATTCATTCGTTCATTCATTCATTCATAGATATATGTATACACACACACACACACACATATATATATATATATATATATATATATATATATATATACGAAGGATCGTGTGAGAATAAGAGTTAAGGTGAGAAGTGGAAGAAGGGAAACCCTTGATCACTTTCATGTTAATTAAATTAAACATAGAACAAGATTTAATCTCATGATCACTAATTAATTTCATCAATAATGATTAGATTTGATAAACATAAAACTTACTTGGAGATCCGATCTTGATTGGATTGTTCATTGATGAAGAAGAAACCATTATAGTAGTTTGATTCCGGATTCCTTATTCTCGTGATAATGCTTCCTTCTTGATGGATAGATTGAGAGGACAAGATTAGGGTGTTTTTGGGAGAAGAGAGTTGGATCTCCCTTGAACGTGCCGTACGTATGAAGCATCAAAGAGAACTATTTTGACCATCTATTTATATGGTGGTTAYTTCCATCAAGTAACTGATTTGTCATGATGGTATAGTTTAGGATATAAACTGTTAATATATTAGTTTCCCACTATTTATTACAGAAATGGTCCTTAGGCCACATTAAAGTAGGAAATATTCCAACATTTTAATCCCAAAACAACCCATGAATCGTGCCTTAGAAGGGAATTGATCTAGTATATCTCATTAGTGTTGATCTAGTGCTTCTCTTCAATTAGGATTGATCCAAGGGTGGAAATCCCTTTTTACTCTTCTCACCATAACTTCCATTCTCATCGGAACCCAACCCATACATATATATATTATATATATATATATATATATAACATTAATTAATTTCTTAAAAGTTCCATGTCATATATAACAACTTTTTCTTCTATCTCAATGTTACTTTCTACAATAATCAATAGAAAAACTTGCATACTTTTTGAAAGAAGAAACTGTGATCTTCTTCACCATAATACATGAAATAATTGACAAATTCTCTTAGTCTTTCTTTTTGTGGAACAATTGTAGTTCTGAGGGTAAATGGTAATTGCTGCATTCTTAGAGATATATATTGRTTTATTGTGATCACTTAGTCTTCTTGTGTAATATATTTGCACATTTGTCTTCCTAATGTGATTTTTATTGTAAAATTTAACTGATCTCTTAAATGGCTTTTCTTGTTGGGTTTTTTTGAGTGATTAGTTTTTCTAGAGGTTATTTCATTTATATCAAGAACCAGTCACTTGGTTAGCAAATTGTTACTTATTTTCAGCTATCTATTTGAGCCTGTAGGACTATACCAACAGTGTACTTATCAACCACTAGTCATGACCTCTATTCATTAACTATTTCAGTCAACGGTCAGAAAGTTACCATTTTTAGGGTACTCCACAATCCACAAACTTTCACTTCTAATTAAAATAGAAAGGTAGGATTGATTGTCTAAGCTTGCAATCTGCAGAGTCTATTATATTTGCTATTAAAAGGTTTATATGTATTTGCTAACAGATATATACATATCCATATACATGTATTATTGCCACTAGGGGTGTTCATCGGTTGAAATCCAATGGATTTAGGTGGATCCTATCTGAATCCGGTCCGTTCCACTCAACATTGGACAACCAATCCAATCTAATCCAATGTATAATTGGATCGGATCGGTTCCATATGGATATTAGTCATCCCAATATTATGATCTAAACTTTAACCAATTAATCCACCGTTTCAACTTCCAACCAATTATAAACATATTTTTCTAATATCTTGAAAAACACTATATACAAATATCAACTAAAAAATAACGTAAAATATTATTAATCTGGTGGTATCGGTTTAGTTTTATTGGATTTTGGACCGCCATCCGAAGAACCGAACTATCCAATTTGGATGTTAGAATTTTTGGATTTGACCCAATCCAATTACAATTGGATATCCAATCAAGGCCAGTTGGTTCTAATTGGATCAGATGACTTTCTGCATTTGTTACTGATGTGTTACAATGGAATATATGAATTAACATATCTTATATGTTGACGTATGAAATATGTTCATGCTAATGCCATATGCTATGCGTCCCACATAAAATAGAATAGTGCTTTCTAGTATTTCTTTGTATTGACTTCTATTTTTGATGATGAAAAGCATTTTCTATTTTTTTATCGTTCTTCATGGGCCCATTTATCACAAGGATAGGGCGTGTGTGTGTTTATATTCATGGTCTTTAAAGTATTTACTTTTAGGTATATTCTAGGCACACACACTTTCATAATACTTTGTTTGTAATGCCGAGTAAGCTTCTTGTTAGCTCATGCTTACCTAATTTTGGTTCCAGTATGTTTCCCAAGTCAACTCCTGAAACGTTTTCACAGAAGCTCTATCAGACATTCAAAACTCACCCACGATTTATCAAACCAAAATTGGCACGCTCGGATTTCATCATTGCTCATTATGCCGGAGAGGTAATGTAAGATTCTATAAATTTTCAGGTAAAATGTTGCTAATGCATCTCTAGGCTTAAAACATGTGTTTTGTATAATATTCAGGTTCACTATCAGTCTGATCAATTCCTAGACAAAAACAAAGATTATCTTGTTCCTGAACATCAAGATTTGCTGAGTGCTTCCAAGTGCTCTTTCGTATCAGGGCTTTTTCCTCCACTACGCGAGGATGCAACCAAAAAATCCAAGTTCTCGTCAATTGGTTCTCGCTTCAAAGTAGGTCATCTTTCAAATATTGATGTCACAGTGGACTTAATTTTTACAGGGGATCAGTCAAGCAACAAGGTCATAAATTATGAGATAGAAAGTTTGCTTCTCAAAAAGATAAAAAGTGAATCAAAGAAGAACGATAAAAGAAAGAGGAAAATCACATGTGTAGACTGTAGTTAATGGTTCAAGTTCAACATCCTTACTGCGAGATTGTAGATCTCATTCTTTCTTAATTAATGCAGCTACAACTTCAACAATTGATGGAGACTCTGAATTCCACACAACCTCATTATATTAGATGTGTGAAGCCAAATAACTTTCTTAAACCGGCTGTCTTTGAAAATGTCAACATCATTCATCAATTACGTTGTGGGGTTAGTAAATTGCATATAACAATGTTTGAAATTCAATAGTAATTTCTTGAACTCATATTTGAAGTGCTTTTCATGCAGGGGGTTCTAGAGGCAATTCGTATCAGCTGTGCTGGATACCCTACCAATAAGAGTTTCATTGATTTTGTGAATCGATTTGGTCTTTTGGTTCCAGAGGTCTTGCGAGCAAAGTAAGTACAATTCATCTGATACCTAATTTGAAAATCTTGAACATGGTTCGATAACATCACTTGTACTGCAGTCATGACAGGAAGGATGCATGTAGAAAGATTCTGGACACGTTGGGGATTCAGGGATATCAGGTAATAAAATTTTTGTTGCCTCTGGAAGGAGCTTAAGTTTCAAGATTATACTAGTAATGATATCGTAATATGATGTTCTGTGTTTTCACTTCAATTCATTTGATTAGTGCAATCAATATCTCTCTCCTGTGGACACGCACTATCACACCGGTAGCGGAACCATGCTAAATTTTGTTGTATCAGTTTCTGTGCCGTTTAGCATTTCTAGTGTTTGAACTTTCACATTGCATTTCCGATATTGTGGGTTGTTATATTTGTTGATGGATCATCGTTTGAACTATGCACGTATCTAGTTCTCGGGATATCTGCCTTTGGATCTCATGTTATGTTTGGGACCAATTTGGGGTCACTTTTGTTCTTGTTTGGCGGATGTTACCTCATACCTGTACATGATATTGGTTTTTTTCTTTACATGCCAGATTTATATATCGATTAGTTCAATCTTTATCTTCCAGTCATTTCAATTTGTCAATACTTAATAAGGTGTATATATGAGTCGGCAGATCGGAAAATCAAAAGTTTTTCTTAGAGCGGGTCACATGGCTGCATTAGACACACGGAGAGCGGAAAAGCTTAGCAAGGCAATCATTGTTATTCAGAGAATGACAAGAAGTTTTCTCATTAGGAAGCGATTTCATGCTATGGCTAATCTTGCTGTTGCCTTGCAAACTTTATGCAGAGGTTTGTCTGTCCAGAAAACTGTCACATGAAACGTTTGCCTTGCTACATACTTTAAGAGGTTACTGTCTCATTTCTGAATCATACTAAAAGTACACCCTTTCCGAGCACTGTTTTTTTATTTGGTTTCTACACATGGCCTGTTCCCTGCATTCTGCTTATTTTTTCTTAATTTGTATTGTATGTTATGTCACTGTCCCTCACACACACTGTGATTGTTTCTACTAGGAACGCTTGCTTCTAAGGTATACGAAGATATGAGAAAGACAGCTGTCTCAACAAAAATTCAGACTAACTTTCGGCGATACACGTTGAGGACGTCTTACAACAGACTCAGGCATGCAGTTGTCCTCATTCAGTCATGTCTGAGAGCAATGGCTGCTCGCCGTGAACTCAGTTACAGGAGGCGAACCAAGGCAGCTACTTGCATAGAAGTCAGTACCTGGTATTCACTTGCTTCTTGTAAATTTAAACCTTCCCAGGTCTAATACGAGTCAGTTCTTGTAGGCCAAATGGCGTGGTCATAGAGATTATAAACGCTATAAGAAACTGGAGAAGGCAACGGTTGTCACACAATGTGGATGGAGGCAGAGAGTTGCTAGGAGAGAGCTTCGGAGATTAAAGATGGTCTGTTTTTTTTTCTCTTATGCATTGGAGTAATAGGTCATATACTCATATGTTCAGATTGTAGTTTTCTTGGGTAGTAACTGAAATTTAGTTAGACTTCGTTCGATTAGGACAAAGTTGACACTTCATTTGCAAATTATAGCAACTAAACAAGAGAAATGGCCATTAGGCTGATCTAATATTTTGTCTCTCCTGTAGTATCATGAATAAAGTTATTCTCCAAGGCTTTTTTTTTTTTGAAGTATATAATATTTGTATACAGCAAATGCAACAAATAAACTCATACACCCTCCTCACCTATGGTGAGGTTTGAACCCCTGACCTCCTAGAAGGCCAAGGGTTACGATACCGCTAGGCCAAAGGCCTTTTGGTTTATTCTCCAAGGCTTACTGGCTGAATATTATTATCTACCTTTCAAAGTAAATATATCAAGAAGCTTTTTTATTTAGCGATTTGATCAACCCTACATAAGGTGCCTTTGGTCTATCGCATACATGATGCTGAAGGCATTTAGGCTGCAATGCTTTAGAAACCCTAGTTCTTCATTATTGTTTTTTCTCTGATAAAAAAACTTCTGTTGTGTCAGTCTTCACATCATTAGTTGCTTATCTTTACCATATATAGGCAGCAAGGGAAACTGGTGCACTTCAACAAGTGAAGGAGCAACTTGAACAGCAAGTGAAAGAGCTCACACGGCGTCTAGATATTGAAGTGCGTAAGAAGGTAACATTAATCTGTTTCAAAGATAATCCTTCATTCCTTTCCACTGGTTTGTATTTGCTTTCCATGTATGGCTGTAAAATCTGTTGCATTGTTTACCTAGAAGGGGATGGAAAGTAGGTGAATAAGTTCGGTGGATTCTTCCTGGATCTTTTTGGATAGAACTTAGGGGCTGTTTGGTTGGTTTTCCATTAAATCCTGTATGGATAAAGTTGTCTGTGTGGATTAATCTGTCTGCATAGATTGAGAAGTTTTTTGTTTGAGATGGTTTTTTCATAGATGGAAGAAGCGTTTTTCTAATAGGGAGAGGCATGTTTGCAAGAAAACTTGCTTTCTGCATAAAGCTCTCCCTAGAAACTTACTAAATAGGTCACTTTATTTATCATTAAGCCACTTCCAGTCATGTATAGCTGACCGAATCAGCTGTGAGTTCCATTAAGCTACTAAAAAACAGGCCCTTAGTTTTGAGCTATAAAGAGGTGTCCTGTCAAGATTGTGATGGCTTTTATCTACTCCAACATAAAATAGGGGCAATTATGCAGACAATAGAGAACATTGATGCAAGTAACTACGAGTTTTATGATAACATGAAGGCACAATAGCAATTTACCAAAGCAAATGTGAAGTGGGATACAATCACTATGGGGATTGATTTTGATTCACCTTAACTAATGATGTTCTACTGAGAGGGAAAACTACTTTTTGAACACCAAGTTTTAATGAAATGTTGAAGTTCTAAAATTTGTTTACAGTGATGAAGCGTCTCAATAGGATAGTCAGAAAAAGAATATTGAGCTCATAAGAATCTGACAGGTCTCCTAGTTGTCTCAGTAAATCATAATGTGGGAACTTGATATGAAGTAACAAAGCTCAAGTCATTGGAATATAAACACTTACAATTTTAAGATCTTCCTAACACAAGCAGTAGATGCTCTGTTAGATGGATGGATGTCAATGTAAGAAGACCTAGCAATAGGTAACATTAGATGTTAATCTTCAACCAAACTCAACTCTGAAGAGAATGTGGTTGAGCATTATTCCTTCCATCATATCTTGTCTGACATTTCATTTGCATTTGTTGTTGGGCTCTTGTGCTTCCTAATCATGCATCAGCATTGCTTTGGTTCATAACCTTATTCTTTCCTTACTTTTTTGTCAGTTTTGCAACATCTCATGCATTTCAAATGGTTGAGCACTTGGTGTGACGCCTTCATACCCTAGGTTATGTCACACAAGAAAGTCATTCGYCCATCCATAGACTCTTTATCACATGGTTATGTAATATTAAAAGCCAAGTAGATATGCCAATTGATTGGGGGATGATTTTAACGTTAGATTCTTGAGATAACTTTTATCTGTTAGGTTGTTACCTCTATGGTGGATTGTTATTGTGATTTTCTGATAAGTATGAAAACTTATGTTCGTAACAAACGTTAAATACCTTATCATGCAGAATGAATTAGAAAAATCGTTGCTTGCCAAGGAACATGAGTCTGGAACAAATACATCTAGCGGGGGAAAGATTGACAGTTTAGCTGCAGAAGTGGAAGACTTGAAGGTAATGTTGGTTTCTTATAAATTATCTCCTCTCCTTACCCCCATGATTTGTGAGTGTTACAATGATGTCCTGGATGATCGTAACCATTTTACTTTGAAAATATCTTAGGGGTTGTAGGGTTGGTTTTCCATTAAGTCCTGTATGGATAAAGCTGATTGTGTGGATTAATCTGTCTATAGAGATTGGGAAGGTTTTTGTTTTTGAGGTTTTTTTTCCATAGATGGAAGGAGCATGCTTTTTAATTAGGAGGGACAGATCTTGAAAGAAATTGGATTTCTGCATAAAGCTCCGTCTAAAAGCTTACTGAACAAGCCACTTTTATATCATTAAGCCACTATCAAAAAGTCATGTATAACTGAACGAATAAGCTGAGTCCCTTTAAGCTCATTAAGTTGTTAACAAACTGACCCTTAGTGTGATAACTTCTGGTGCTTATTTTATCAGTGACATCTTTTGTTGTTGAGGGATCTTAAGTAGTCATTTAAATTTAGATCACTAGTTCTAGTTTGACTTGCTAATTATGTAATATTATCAATAGAAATGTAAAATGCTAAACTATATATGAGAATCACTCCTAAGATTAAAAAAGTTCGAGATTTTTTTGCAAATTTAAATGTTGGAAGTGAGGACATGAAGACTCATTTAAGTTCCATATGTGCTTCATAGAGGACATGGAATAAAGGAACAACACGGTTTAGTTGATCTCTTTCTACCAACAAGCATCTGTTTGAGTGTGATATATGTCATGTTAATTATTTGGTTCTTTTGTTGACTATGATTGGAGATCTGAAATGGTTGTGTCTCATCAGCTAAAGTTTCTATCTTAAAGAAACCGAAGTTCTGAAGAAAACTTCATGGAAGTTGCATGATTCTTAGGAAAGAAAAGGGTGAAGTTTTCTTTGTACTGTACTTGTTGTAATTGGTAAATTGGATCCATGTCTGACCTAAATTCCTACTTATCTTGTTGAACATCTATGAAACATAGATTTACACTTTCTCAGAGAAGCAAAAGCATGTTCGTTTTTTGCTTATATGGTCGGTCGTTAATGAAGTGATGACTGATGACCTCACATATTTTTTATTATCATTTAGTTTATATCTTTATATAGGAAATATGGAAGTGGTGTCATTTTTAAGAGAGCATTGTATGTTTGTTACTAAGCACTTGAGTTGATTTTTCCTTCGGACATGACTTCAACTAGGACTGCACTTGATCACATTTGCGCACTTAATTTGCAAATACCTTCTAAAGGCATTGATTTTACCAAATTAACAATGAATTTAGGATGATTTAAGATGAGGTAGGAAATATGTGCAAAAATGCAAATGGGTGTTAACATGGCAATCTTGTTTTCTTGGTGAATGATATGGCTGTATTATCTGTAGAGCAAGATGTTTGATTTCTTTTAGTCATTTAGACCTTGAATGGAAGTACATCAAATATTTGATTTTCTATCCATCATTGTATCTTTTTCCCTTGATCTGTAAATTACCCATCTTGTATACTTATTGGCATGCAGGCTTTATTAGAATCAGAGAGACAACGAGCTGATGAGTCTGAGAAGAAGTATGCTGAAGCGCAAGATAGAATTGAAATTATGAAGTTGGAAGAAGCTGAAAGAATGGTACTTAAACTTCAAGACTATCTTTGCTTTTGTTTAGTCCACCATATAATAGTGGCATAGATGTAGACCATAGATAAATTTATCACAAATAAGTATTGGTTGTGTGACATGATGAAGCCAAACGAGCGATATATCATAGGCAATGAGAAAATAGATATAGTAAGCATGGGAATCAATCCAGATTGCCTTAAGTAACAATGTTCTAGTGAGAGGGAAATAAATTCTTTTTGCGCTGGAGTAGGAGTAAATTCCCCCCTCACCCCCTTTTACTAAACCATGGGGAGAAGTAGGGGTGCTCAAAAACCCGACCAACCCAACGTAACCCAACAGGAAATAACTCAACCCGAAGCAACCCGATGTCTAATCGAGTTGTATAATTTTCAAACTGTAGGTATTGGGTTGATATTGGGTTACTATTATTTGAACCCAACCCAATCCGATGAACCCGATATCCTTTTATTTATTGGATTTAATATGATTGTTGAGTTTATATTAATATATACATTAGACAATTACACTATCATGTACGCTCTTCATATGTACATATTTTCAATCTATTCTCCATCTCTATATCACTCATTCATATATATGTAAATTGAGAAAATTAACTGAATGTGATATACGTAAAAAGTATGGATAAGTTGTACCAAATGGTTGATGATGAAATAGAAATTATGAGTAAAGAAATAACATATTCAAGGTTAGAAGAATATTTTAATATACTAAAGTATCAACCCGATCAACCCGTACGGTTTGGGTTGGGTTGGGTTAAGATTTTTCAAACCGCAAGCATTGGGTTGGGTTGTTCAAATGTCTCAATCCGATCAACCCAACCCATGAGCACCCCCGGGGAGAAGCATACTTGCCCCATTAGCATGCATATAACCCATTTGAAATTTCACAATTTGTGTGCAACTTGAAGCCAATAAGATAGTTACAAAAAGAAATATGAAGTTCATATGCAGTGGATTCTCTAGGTGTCGGATGAAAACACAATGTAAGAGGACATAACAACAAATAGCACTGATATAAATCTATGACCAAGCAAAGCTCTCAAGTGAATGTGGTGCAAACATAATTTCTTTCTTTCTTGTGAACAACCAATGTGCATAATTTCTTTCTTTCTTTCTTCTGAAGGCATTGATTTTACCAAATTACAATGAATTTAGGATGACTGAAAATAAAGCAAGAAATATTATGCAAAAATCTAAATGGTTGTCAACATGGCTATCTTGTCTTGGTATTCTCTATAGAGCAAGATATTTGATTTCTTTTAGTCATTTAGACCTTTTAAGGAAGTGCATCATATATGAGATTTTCTCTCCACTATTCTATCTTTCATTCTCTTATCCTCTCTTGATGTGTAATTTCCGATCTTATGTACTTATTGGCATGCAGGCTTTATTAGAATCAGAGAGACAACGGGCTGACGAATTTGAAAAGAAGTATATTGAAGCCCAGAAAACAATCGAAATCATGAAGTTGGAAGAAATTGAAAGAACGGTACTTCAACTTTAAGATTATGTTTGCTTTTGTTTCATCCACCATAAAATAGTGTCATGTATGTATAATGTATGCAATAAGCATGGGTTTTGTGATATGTTGAAGCCAAACGATATATAGAGCCCATCAGAAATGAGATATAAATACCATGTGAATCAATCTTGATTGTCTTAACTAACATGTATTAGTGAGAATGAAATAAATTCTCTTTGGGCACCAAGTCTTATAACATTGATGAAGTTTCAAAGTTTGTCTACAAATTTGAAGCCAGATGGTTACAAAGTGGAAATTTGGTTCATACGTTGTAGATGCTCTATCCAATGGATGAAAACACAACACAAGGTTGCATAACAATAGATAGCATTGATACAAATCTTCAATCAAGCCGAACTCTTCCAAGTGTATTTGGTGTAAATTAATTTTCTTTCTTTTTCTTGTGACTAGCCAATGTTTTGTGCTTAACATTATCCTTAATTAGTAGATAACCGGTTCGATATTTTCTCTCCATCATTGTTTCTTCCTGTCTATTCTTTCTCTCTTGATCTATAAATTACCCATCTTATATACTTATTGGCATGCATGTTTTATTGGAATCAAAGAGACAATGGTCTGAGGAATCTGAGAAGAAGTTTGCTGAAGCCTAAGAAAGAATTGAATTGATGAAGTTGGATAAAACTGAAAGAATGGTACTTCAACTTCAAAGCTAGGTTTGCCTTCGCCTAGTCCACCATAAAATAGTAGGTAATGTGTACATAACTGATTAATTTTATTCAAATAAGTACCAATTGTGAGATTGATGGAGCCAAACTAGTAATATATCAAAGTACATAAGAAGTAAGATACAATAAGCATGGGATTGATCTTAATTCACCTTAAGTAACCATGTTTTAACGTGAGTGAAATAAGTTCTTTTTTGGYAGCAAGTCATATTAAACATTTAAAGCTTGAAAGTTTGTGTGCAAGTTGAAGCCTCCCAATAAGATTACATAAAGAAATATTTAGCTTCCTCCGGTGGATGCAAACACAAAATAAGATGGCATTACAATAGATAACATTGAATGATAACCTACAACCAAGCCTACTCTCAAATCAATCTTTTTTTTTGTTGCACACCCATTGTTACATAAGCTCATCGTTATGCCATCTTGTTAGGCTAACGTGCTTCCTTAACATGCATTAGTAGGAGGTAGGGTTCATCACCTTAAAGATCCTCGAGGATTTGCATCTAATTAGTTCTTATTTTTCTTCAGTAGGTTTATACGTCTCTCGATCTCTTGCATTTCAAATGGTTGAGCACCCGATGTGAAGCTCATCACATCACGGGATAGGTCACCCAAAAAGTCATTTTGTTGCTATCATGCATAAATTAATTGGGATTATGTTGGACCTTAAATTCCTAATACAGTACTCAGTTGGCGTTACCACTAGTGTGGATTGTAATTGTGATTGTTTCGACTAACATCAAAATCATTGTGTTTGTATCATAAAAAATATTAATTATCATATCATGCAGATTGAATCGAAAGACGCATTGCTTTCCAAAGAACGTGAGTCTACAACAGAAACATCTGATGCAGCATTGTCCATTGTCAATGAATCCCGAGTTTCTATGGACACTGATAAGAGTGACAGTTCAACTAGTGATAGTTCCAGTGACAATACAGCCACAGAAGTGAAGAACCATAAGGTAATGTGATTTAATATAAATTATCTCATCTCTCCCCACCTCCTTAGTTTGTATGTCTAAATGATGCATGACAACTACGCCATGGTCATTTTGATAGGTTTACTTCTACAATATCCTAGTGTGATAGCTTCTTGAGCTTCTTTTTTTGTTGACTTAAGTGTAGAGTACTGATTGTACTTTGACTGGATAACTATGCTATATTTTCAGTATGTGCAGTTGCAGAAATGCTCAATACTAAAAGTTATACCAAAGTTACCAACAAGAACAGTAAGATTAAGGAAGTTTGATTAGACATTTTGGAGAATTCAATTATGGAAACGTTGGCAAGGAGATTAAGGTTGGCTTAGGTGTCATATGTGCTTCCACATATAGTACCTCAACAACGTGTAAATGAACACCATCGTTGTGCTAATCTCTTTCCACCAACAAAAATATGTGGATATGATGGATGCCATTTTTATTCTGTGGTTTGCTTGTATCCACATTTCTTTGTTTGGCTTATTAACCACACCGACTATGACCAGAGATCCGGAATAGTTTTGCTTGTCAAGCAAACTTTTTCTTTTAGAGAAACTGTTTTTGCGAGACTTCATTGGAGAGTTACATGATACTAAGGAAAGAAGACCGTGAAGTTTGCTTTGTGTAGTGCAGGTTGTAGTTTGCTATTTCAGATCCATATATAAAATAAGGTTTCCATACATAGATTTTTGTATTACATGGTTAAGTAATCGGTAATAGGATTGTGCATAAATAACTAGGTCCGAGTTTGATCTCAAATTACTAAGTACGTACTCTACATGTTAGTCATTAGTGTGGATTACAATGGTGATTGTTTTACATATATGAAAAGTCATTGCTTTTGTAACATTATAAAATATAATTACCATGTGTTGCATGCTGAATTAGAAAATGAATTGCTTGCCTAGGAACCACTAGTCTGCAATTGAAGCATCTGGTGATGCTTGGTCTTTGTGAAAGAAGCCCCATTTTCTTTTGAGGACACTGCAAAGATTGACAATTTAACCGCCAAAGAGAAAAATCTAAAAAATGTTGGTTTAATCGCTTCACCCCACCTCAGTTTTTTTTGTGTTAAAATGATGCATATGTACCACAATGTGTTGTTTCTAATTGGTTTACTTTGATAATGTTTTAGTGTGAAAACTTCCGGCAACTTCTATTTCTAGTGACATCTGTCATCGTGAGGTAAAGGGGATTCTTAGTGGTGATTTAAGTTCAGAGTACTCGTTCTACTTTGATTAGATAACTAGGCAGTATCATCAGTATACAGACTTGTAGAAATGTAAGATACTGAACTTTATACCAAAATTACCGATAAGAACTTTAAGATTAGAAAGTTTTAAAGAGACATTTTTGGAGTTTCAACATTGAAAATTAAGAAGAGATCAAGATTAATTTACATACCACTATATGCTTCATAAAGAGTACCTCAATAGAGTAAAGGAAGGGAGAGCTCAACGAATTAAAGCTACGTCGAGGATAACAGGCTGATGACTCCTAAGAGCTCTTATTTGCTCGGCTCGCAGCGTTTGCTGCCTCGCCTCAAAACCCCCTATGCGCTTTCTTGTTGTGCAAATGCGCRTTTCTTTCCTTGCAGGAAACGAACAACATATTTATTATTATTTTTTGTCGCAACAACCAAATATGAGTTGATGTATGTTAATTTACTTTTGTGATTCGTTTTTTAGCCACACTAACTATGACTAGCGATCCTGAATGGTTATATTTCGTTAGAATTTTTTTTCCTAAATAAACTRAAAACTTTGAATAGACTTCTTGGTAAAGTTGCATGATTCCAAGGAAAGGAGAAGGTGAAGAATGCATTCTATAGTATGTGTTCTAATTCGCCAGTTTATCCATGAATGACAAAAAATTTCCTGCAATAAACTCTTTTATTACGTGGTTAGGTAACCACAAAAAATATAGATGCATGACAATTGCAAATGGGTTTAGCTTCAAATTGCTACATACATATATATGTTTGGCTGTAGCCACAAGGGTGGATTGTAATTCTTATTTTTTCAATAAACAAGAAAAGACGTTAGGTTCTTGTAATAATAAATATAAAGTTAGCTTATCATGTATACTGAATTGGAGGATAGGTTGCTTGCTATTAAATTGAATGTACTTAATTATAATTAGTATAAGGTAGAGGGCACTTCTATGTAATTAGTATCTCTATATATAGAGACCTATTGTAATTAGGTTAAACATGAAAATCAATACACAACCTTTTGGTTTATCTTGGTATCAGAGTCAAGTTACCAAAACCCTACTTGCCTTCTTGGTCACGCCACTACAAGGTTGATCTTTACAAACCAATACAACCATTAAAATCGCCATTAACAGGTGATCCACATACCAAGAATCGATCAAAACCCATTTGTTTATTTGCCGTTTGCTGCCGCTGCCGCCGAGGCCTCTGCCGCCGCTGGAACCCTAATTTTCAGATTCAGTCTTTTTTTTGAAGGCACATTACTACATCATGGCTCTAATAGCCTCTTTCACAACAATCGAGAAACAATCTTACAATTCACACAAGTTTGCTTTTACCCTAACTCCTACAAACTATGGTTATTGGAAAACAATGATTCAACCTTTTTTTGTCACAAATAACCTATTCGGATATATAGATATATCAATACCTTGTCCATCCAAGCATCTACCATCAACCGCAACCACCTCCGATCCAAAGGCTACCACCGATCCAAAATATAACCATTATTACCCGATTTGGATTGCTATTGGTGCTCATGTTCACATGCTGATTATATCCACTATCTTTGAAGCCTCTTTTCGACATGTCCAGGGTTAAACTTCCCTTGATCTATGGCTTACCTTAGAACGAGCCTATGCGCCTCACATATCATCCAGGGAATATACACTGAAAACTCAACTTCTCAAGATTCAGATGGAAGGTGATGAAACTTCGTATGCTCTAGCTTCCGTCCTGTCAAAGATAAAGATCTTGTTATGCTTGTAGTTTCTGGTCTCCGTGAAGAATACAACCGTCTTAAATCCACCATCACCGTACGTCAACTCCCGAATGCCTTCAATGAACTTCATGCCCTTCTCAGAGACCTTGATTACATGCTTGGGAAAACTCGTGCCTCTACTCCATCTGTTTCTCAGGCTTTTGCAGCTACAACCGGCAATTCTGGTGACTCTATCGGTTTTTCACTATCAACACCTTTTGGTTTGTCACAACCTTCCGCCTCTCATCATCAACAACTTGCATCTACCCTTGGTTATCTGTTGATGGTTGCTGCAACTTCAGGCCCTCAAGCTTTCTATG